AAAGCCCCTTGTCTTATAATTTCATGCAAAGAAATCTCACTAAAAAAAACCATCTATTGTTAAACTGCTGCCAAAAGCAGCATTTGCTCAGCAATGGAAACCAACTATGAAACTGATCAAATGAAGCCAACACTGAGTACGACTATATAACAGATGGCTCACATTGGGTAAACATGGTGATAGAAACCTTTTTACACCCTTTAAAAAAAACCCAAAAAACAGGTGGATGTTCCCTTCACAGGGAACTAGCACTGGGCCTGGAAGTATTGCAAAACAGGCCAGAACTGGGAGGGCCAGTGCCAGCCCTGACACCCTCTCCTTGGTGGATCTTAGATTTGATCTTAGCCAAAAGCCTGAGATGCTGATGGGAATTTTTTTTTTATATTAATATATTTCATATTCCAGGTCAAATCAGCCAAATCAGTTCCAAATCACATTGATTGAGGAGAAATCAGTTGTTCCAAAAACCATATCATTTGACCAGACAGAACTCCATCATTCTAAACACCATGTATGGCACTACAACTGGCGAGCATCCTTCATCCCAGACCCTCACCCTGGGACTTCAGATACTCCCAAATCCATGGGCAGGCATTCTACATGCAGGGCCAAGCCCAGAGGTTGTAGTTTTCAGATGCCCTCACTTCATCTTAGCCAAAAGGCCACAATGCAGTACCACAAGAATAGGTTAATGAAGCCCATCTGAAAAAGAAGGATAGCAGTATGCACTAAGCGCAGTTCCTCTCACTGCCAACTCTTTTTCATGTCATAGTGAGCCACAACATTGCATACATTTTGGCTGCTACACTCCCACAGCTGAGTTTCACCTTTCTTTCCCATTTCCAATTATTTCTGTTTCTTCACCAACAGGAATAAATGCCTGGCAAACATGAAATGGGGCCACGAATAGTTCAGCAAGAATCTCTCTGTTGCCTCTTCTCTCAGCCTGTTGCATATGATTAGTGTGCAACATGAGTTGCACACTAATCGTGTTGCACACTAGTTGCACATGATTAGTGTGCAATCGTGTTGCACACTAATCATGTTGCACACTAGTTCCATGAGGTGAGGCAAGACAGGGTTGCCCTGCACCTCATCTGTATATAAAATTTTGGAGCATCCCAGGATTTGTGACAAGAACACCCAGTTCCAGTCATGAGTGGGAGATGCTTAGTGTGCAGATCCTTTTTTTTGGTGGGAGGGAGGGGGCATATCTGAAGTTCACACACATACTGAGCAGTGCTGAGCTGTGGGGTCACTGTGACTTGAAATGCTGTTGATTAGTGGAGCCCAGCCCAAAGAACTCTGTGGTAAATCATGAGCCTTTGGGTTTGGACTATCACATATATTTTGTACTACATTTTAAGTAGGAGCCAAAGTGTTGCTCAGAAGTGTGTTTATGGAGTACCCACGCTAAAACTTGCTGCAGTTTCAAAAAAAAAAAAAAAAAGGTAGCATGCATCAATTTTGAATAAACTTAGTGCATGGATAATATATGAAAATTGCTACAGCCATGTTTAATTTCAAGGTTATTGCTTTCAGATTTGCTCTTCACTTCTACATGGTTGGGGAGAACAGGGTCTGACAGAAGGGACAAGGGGCTTCTAGGAGAAAAAGTTGTGGGGAAGTAAATAGCCAAGGGGCTTCCTGACCCCCAACTCTGGAACTTTGGTTGCTACCTTTGGTTGTGACCTATCACCTGGACAAGGGGGAAGAGATTGATGTCA